AGTGCTTTTCGGCCGAAGACAACAGCTGCATCAAGGTCTGTCGTCGCCCCGAGCTGGTTGAAGCGAGTCAACAAATAAACTGCAAGACAGTTCAAAGATGCAGAGCGATCAGGGTGTCCTTGCGGGCGAAGCTCGAGTCCTTCTCGACAGAGAGCAATGGCATCATCGAGGTCCACCACTCTCCCGAGCTGCTTGTAGCGTGTCGAGAGACGGAATGCAATTTTGTTCAAAGCAACCCAGCGATCACGGTGCCTTTGCGTGCAAAGTTTCCCCGCTTCTTCCTCGAGGATGATGGATCCCACTCCACTGACTCCTCTGTGCTGAGTGCCGAGCCAAAGCGCAGTCATTGCTAAAACGATCCATCGACTGAGGTGCTCAGGCGGGTAAAGTTCGAGCCCTTCTCGGACAAGAACAATGCCCTCCTGAAGGTCCGTTGTTTCTCTGAGTAGGTTGTACCAACACCGGAGAGGAAGTGGAAAGTCGGCCAAAGAGGCCGATCGATTAAGATCACCAGATAGACAAGGAGGTTCTGGTATTTGACGATCTATGATGGTTGCCTCCTTGGTGTCACTTGTCCCGCCTGCTCGCTCAAACCTTGCAACAAGGGATTCTACCAGTGAACGCAGCTGCTCAACTAGTAAACACATTATTTCACTACTCTGTCCACGGACAGGATGAAATGGGTACATTTTGAACGTCTGCGGGCTGCCGAAATCTGTTTAAACCTGGCGACGACAGGTTTTGCCCTTGAATGTGCCCAGGAAACTTGAATATATATGATTATTTCACTACTGTTCACGCTGAAAGGGAAGATAAACATACCTTTTGATTTCATACTGGCTCGTAGAACTTGATTCGATGCTGTGGTTTGGGAAAAAGACTGGGGGTGTCGGGCGCCTTGAGGCAAGGCAGTGGTGAGTGGTGACCAGCCCACTACTATGAGGCTGTCGATAATAGGCACGTGAGCGATCTATAACCCCGTTGCGCCAGTTAACGGCGACGACCAATAACTTGTTGGCATTACGTCCGCGAGCGAAGAGGTAGGATACTCGCATTCCAACCCCATACAATCCGGGATCCCACAGTGTCTGCTACACTGATTCAATACACCTTTCCTGAACCATCCGCTGCGGCGTCCACGTCCACGTCCCACCTGGCCTTAGCTCCGAGTCGGGCTCTAGGATTCTAGCTCGCGTGGCGGCAATGTGAGGGCTTTGGAAGGAAGGGGATTGTAGGCAGTTTGGTTTTCTAAACCTGGATCGAAATATAGAGTGTGTTCGTTTTTTATTTCCGCCAGCAACATATCTTGGGCATTTACACCACGCTAACGACCTTAAGTATGGTTATGAGGATGTGACGAGTCATGATGAGTCACCTGGACGATTCTCGTTTGTCCTGTCGAAATCATCATCCAAAAGCACCTCTTGACAAGGCTATCGCTGCTTCTGGTTCTCACCATGCTATGTCTACGGCCACACAAAACGAATACGAGAATACAAAAGGGAGCAAAACGAGCGAGAAGTGGCAATAAGCGGATTCTATACATCCATCTTGGTACTTGATTTTCTGGTCAAGTGGTACATGCACAGATTTCATTGTCTTGTTCAGCGCAAACGCCGCCCGGGTATGATCTAGACGACCAGACTCGTCCACCATGTGCTTGTAGAACGTCGACGTGATCTTGTTTGTCTCAACATCGTCCACCGCCCACATTGTCCCAATCACAGACCGAAACCCAATGAACTGCATCGCCGAGGCGAGGTGGATCACCTCGTCGGGGCTTTCCTCGTCTCCGACAGTCGTATGACATGCCGATTCGAATGGCTGAGTCCGATTTGGGATGCCATGACATGCGAAGTGGACCCATTCACTCTTGCCAAGCTCTTCCAAAACCCTAGATAAACAGGACTCCTCTCCGTCTATGCGCGTGAATGCAGCGAGGTTGCTGACGAGCCGACCAATGATTTCCAGTTCCACTCCTACGGAAAGGAGTTTAGTCTCGCCAGCGGCATTGGCTTGACCAACAACGACAAAGCTTCTCTGTTGGTATGCGGTAGTTGATAGATCGCCGCGTCTAGCACGAATGAGAGCGGTCAGGGTTGGGGTGTAGGACGAGACGTAGAGATCAGGGAGACTCCGTTGGCCCTTCCTGAAGGGACTAGCAGCGTGCAATGGCAACGCAGAGAACTCGCCGGTGGGGCACCACCAGATGCGGGAGTGGGGTAAAACGGTTGTCTGAAGGAAATCGACGATGGGGGAGATGATCTGATCCCAGAGTGTCCGTAAGAACGCCGCAAGCGGTCTTGTCATGTCGGACCTTGTTGCGCGCACAGTCAAGGTACGAAGCTATGTAGACAGGTCACGAACATTCTCCTGTGTAATCTGCAATGGGATATGAACAGGATCGCCATCGGGTAGGATGACAAGCGCGTCGCAGCTGTACTTGCTCGCGTTGACGACGACGACGAGTCCTCCACTGGCGGCGCATTGAAGATCCGAGAATAGGGGGGAAAGAAGAAAACGCGAGAGCCCAGGTAGCTTGCGAATATTGGCTACGACTCTCTGCATTTCAAGATTAAGATGCGACAACTGTCCATGTTGATCTGTACCAGGTGAATCGAGGACAGAGCGAGAGAGCGAGGCCAGGCGTGTGAACTCATCCGCCAACTCCTTCCCTTCCATGCCAGACGCAATAACATCGTCTAGGGGAGAACGGAGGCGAATAAGTTGGCTCCAAAAGACACCCCGTCCTTGTTCCAGAAGTTCGACTGCCTTTGCAGGGGAACCGTTACGGAGACAAGCTGCTCGTACCGGGTGGAAAGGTGACTTGCAAGGTTGTTCACAGACTTCGATCGATGGGGATGCCCTTTCTGGAAAAGGTCAAGGGCTTCTCGGTCGAGGATAATGGCCTCGTCGAGGTCTCCCATGACCCCGAGCCGGTTGTACCGAGTGGAAAGACAAAGGGCAAGGTTGTCCAATGACATTGAGCGATCAGGGTGTCCTGTCGGGCAAAGGTCAAGGGCCTCTTTTGCGAGCTTCCATAGAACCAGGTAACCAAGAATGCCTCGTCGAGGTCCTCCATGGCCCCGGGTGGAGAGATGAGCTGCGAGGTTGTTCAACCACTTCGACCGATCTGGGTGTCCTCTCGGGAAAAGGTCAAGGACTTCTCGTCCAAGGATAATGGCCTCGTCGAGGTCCTCCATGACCCCAAGCTGCTGGTATCGGGTGGACAGATGGATTGCAAGGTTGTTCAACGACATCCACCGATCAGGATGTCCTTGCGGGCGAAGGTCACGGGCTTCCCGATCGAGGACGATGGCCTCCTCAAGGTCCCTCATACTTCCAAGCCCATTGCAGCGAATGTCGAGGTGAATCGCAAGCTGAGTTAAAGAGACAGATCGCTCGGAGTGGCCGGGTGGGCGGCGCTCCAGTGCTTCACGAGCAAGGAAGACCGCAATGATCGATGCAACTAGTTCCCGCTCCTTGCTGAAACTTGTTGGCGAGAGCAGCCGCCCATGAATGCAGCTGTTCAACTGCCAGGTACATCATTTCAGAGCTATTCCACGCAAGGAGAAAGAGGCACGCACCTGTTGGATCCATGCCTGCTCACTGTACTTGATACAACACGGTGGTTTGGCAAGAACACTGGCGACGTATGATGTGCGCCTGGGCGCCGTGCAGGGAAAAGGCAACCTGGATACCGACTGTTTCGAGTTGTTTTTGGGAACACGTGGACGAAATGCAAGGACGCTGAAGCAATCTGTCAGGTATGTGATAAAATGTGCGACGACTTAGAGCGTACCAGGATACCACCGTTCCTGTCGTCCGTCGCCTCTTATTGCTGAACGCCAAACGCGGAGCGCCAGAATTGATGCTGAGTTACATGGCATCGCACTTAAATTCAGATCCGTGTGTTAGAACAGAATTAGAGGAACGTACATTGTGTCTCGAAAACTTGAACAGTGAGGTAGCGTGGCCGGTGCTCGCACCATGGATCCCCTGGGGCACAGATGAACAGCGAGAATAAGTCTTTGCCGCCGACATTGTTGCCAAGGAAGGGCGGCTTGAGAATGTCCAAGGAGACGCATATAGTGTCGTGGTCACAAGACTAGTACGTCGGACCCTGTACTATTGTCAGAACCCCATGTGGTTCAAATTTCAGTCGGAACGCACTTGCGCTTGGTTGAAAGAAAGTCGCTGGGTTGTGGTTGCCGTGGGCGAGGAGAGAAAAGTCTTGCATCGCCACAGAAATCGCAGGCTAATCGCAACTCTTTGGACATCGCTCTGTACGCGAGGCCGACGGGAGGAGGAAGGTCGAGAGGGAGTGGATGGACGAGAGAGGGAGTGGATGGGCAAGAGCGCGGAGCGCTCTTCGGCCCGGGACGGGAGCCCGACTTGCTGGGTAGGGCGTGAGCTGCGAGGGCGGGTGGGAACGCCTCGCAGGCGCATGTGGCTTCACTCGTGCCTCACTGCACCACAGTCCATCGCCCCGGACCAACTTACACCATGCCAGCGATACTTGCTGCGGGCAAGCTCCCTTCTTCGACAGGGATCGAAGAAAGAACACTTAGCACCCTCGTCCATTATATTCTGTTGTTGGTTCAATTTAAAAGCCAAGCACACATACAACGTTACTGTTAAAGCCATGCCAGTGGGTCGCATGCATGACGTATGAATTCCATCGAGGTAGCACGCCAGGATTCGGACGAGACGCGAGACGAGGTACGTCTACGGGCCAGTGGGTCTACCGTACATGCACAAATTCTCGAAGCGTGCAGGTATTCATGGCATGTGACTAACATCGTTTGAACCAGCGATACATGACGATCAGGGTAGGTAGGGACCGGTCGATTCGTCTCAGTAATGTTGCGATGACTAGAAACGCCTGCCCAGGAACTGGAAGCTCAGGTACTTCTTTTGAGCGCGAGCGAAAGTTCAACCTACTCAACGTTTCGCTTCCATTCTCCTGATAACGACGGAAGGGCGGTAAAAAACAAACTTGACAAGAGCGAGATTCGAACTCGCGCCCTTTCGGACTGGATAGGTAAGTTAACCTGATTCCAGCGCCTTAGACCGCTCGGCCATCTTGCCATCACATTCAGGCTGTCTCCAGGGACATACAACTTTGCTACACTGATGTTGGGCGCCGCAGCGCGGATCAAAATACCCACTTCTCGTCATCATTCGCCAAAGTCTTGACGCAATCATGCGATGATCGTGACTAGCTCCATCACCCGCTACAGCAAGATCGGGCCCATTGCATCGTTCTGGCACCCAAACAGATCCCATCAACCAGATTCATACCATGGTATCTCACCAGCGATTGCCCTGCATTCTTCTCGGCGAAACGGAACGACAAGGGACGAGGTGTCAAACTTCAACACCGACAGACGAGGCCAATCCGATATACCACGTCAGGGTCCCAATCCCGTCCGTGTTCATAGATATAATAGGCGGATACGTTGAATGGAAGCAGACACAGGCCGATCTAGATCAACTTGAAATATTCTCCATTGTGAATCGTTTGACAGGACCCTCGGAATGCCCTATCGATGGACCGCATGCACACCCTATCACCCGGTCTGGAACGTTCGAGGCGCTCTTGTGACTTGCATGGTATGGGGTTACGAGGTGGGTTAAAAATGGGTTAGTAGCCGTACTGATAACCATCGATTCGTACTCGAGTGGGAAGTTCCGGAACAAAAACAGAGATCTGACGTCTAGATCTCACATCCCTATATGCACGTACGTCCTACTGGGAACGGATGCGAACATGGATATCTGTCGACATCCGCAACTTCAAAATCAGAAACAATGCATCAGGATTCAGTCCTAGTAGCACTCGTTACATCCGGCAACGTCCCTCATCCTTTCGTAAAGCCGCTTGACCCAACTGCATGACTTCAAATCCTCCATGTTCCTTTGCCACGACAAACCGTCCCATACCCTCGTCAAAGTCCACCTTGTCGCCGCACCCATGCCTTTCGTCCGCACCACCCTCCACGTTTGCGGTCCCGTTCAAATCCAACCAATTCAAATCCCGCTGCCGATGCTGATCCACGCGATATAAAGGTTTCCCCGTCTCAAACACCGGTCCAAACTGCATCTCGTACGGCGGTAAAATGTGTAACCCAGGACTCACGAGGCGAAGCTCCTGACCGACGACGAACACGCCACGTCCAGACCAGCCAAGACAGAGGGCCGTACACGCACTCGGCGGATAATCGTCTATACTTCCAATGCCTTCATCCTCCTCTCCTCCCTGGCTTGGGTATTGCCATGGCGGATTTGGCAAGTGTGGCTGCAGAAAGGCTAGGCGATACGGGAACGCGGTTGTATAGGCAGCCGCTGCTTTTTCGCAGTTCTCGGTATCCACAAGGGGAACCAACATTACCATAGACATGCTCTCTGGCCGCGTTCTCGATCGCCCCGCAATCGTCAACGTAGGCGACATACCCATCGCAGACGACGAGCACTGTCCATCCCAATCCACGTCCCAATCCGCGTCCCGGCCGAGGTTCGCACTGGGATTCAGGCGCGGCGGCACGACGCGGCGCGCGATGCACGTCGTAAACCCAACCGGTCGAGTGATCGCTTCTTGGAACATGAACACCCGCTTGTGCTCTACGACCACCTGACCGTCCGCTGGAACATGAGGAACGGGGAAGACACTCACGCCGCACTCCCATACGACCAGGAGATGGCCAGCAAACGCCACAAAATCGAGAAAGCTGCCAAACTAAATGGGAATGTGCAAAAGAGCCGCGAACAGAACATTCAGCAGACAAAACGCGACGGTGGACAGAGGACGCTCACCAGATCGGGGGGACGTGGGATAAGCGCCGTGCCGGTCGTCTGTGCATGCCAATCAAGGAGCTCCAGACCACCTCCCCCAAGTTCCCTGGTTGTATCTAACAACAATAACCGTCCCCATACACCCACCACGATACCTGGCACACGTGCATAATCGCATAGCACCACGAATGGCGCCTTCAAACTGGTCGACAGAACCTTGGCGAACCGACGGGACCTGCGACGTAATGGTCAATTAGCCCCTTATCCACGAGAAAAAAATAATTACCCCAGCGGCTCTCTCGGCCCGACGGCAATCACACCAGGGGCCTCTCCATCCTTGACGATTCTACACGGGACCTCATCGAAGGGTGTCCACTCCCCGACGCGCTTCAATCCCTGAGCAATCCCTGGCCAACTGACGATGAGCCAATGCACCACCTTGTCGCCTTGCACGGTCAATAATTCTGTCCCGCCTGGAATGAACACTACTTGGTCTACGTGCGAATCACTGCCATGGTGTTCCGTGGAAACGAGCATGTTCGCAGACAATCGTGGCCACGCTTGCTCGAGATGGAGTGCTCGCAAAGTGCGTCGCTCGAGCTCCGTTGCGGAGAGCATGGAGAGGGGTAGGTGGGGACCCGGAGGAGGTAGATTACGCGCCAAGACTTCGGCACAAAACCGGGCATACCAGATGCAGCGGTGTTTACTAAGGAGATAATATCGTCGAGACGTCTCGTCTCCTTTTAGCTCGCTCGTTTCGTCTTTGACAAGGGCTGGGCTCACCTTGCGTAGAGAAAGCAGGGCATGCACAGACAATGTTTGGAGGATTTGGATCAGAATGTCGTCTACGAGTATGTCCATACTGCCGTTCATGGTGGTTAGGGTGGTGGGTAAGGTGTGGGTAGTAGTGTGTTGTAACATCCTTGTCCACACCCACGGGGACGACAAGTTTCAAAGTATACACACGATTTGCCCGTTCGCACCAAATACGTATTTCGTACACGCACTGTCTCAACCAAGATGGGTGGGTGCCGGTGTGTATGCGAGATGCGTGTGATAAGATGTGAGAGGCTAACGATGGTGGAGCAGGGGGTGGAGGACACGGAAACGGGTGACACGTACGTCGCAAACAGATATACCCTTTGAATGTGACATCCTGAATCGGACTGAGTTGGTGCAATCCGGGGGGTGCGTAATGCGCCCCCGCAAGACCTAGTCCATAACCACATCGGAAGTTGACACTTCCGAGGCCCGACCGATCAATCCATCTCTGGTCACGTGGTGTCTTTTGTAGTGACCGCTTGGGGCGCAACGTTGGACATGGTTGGAGTGTGAACGATGGAACCACTGGGAATATGGAAACATCTGGCCAGAAGGGGAAGCAGCGTCCCGATCTCCGTGTACGTCGCTACCGAGTACTCATTTCGGTGGAGATGGAAAATGATCCACCTACCCGACACCCAAGGCATCCATGCCCACCTGAGTCTCAGTTCGACGAATCTGGTGCCCTGGGGTTTTTTTGAAAGCGCACAGCCCTTGTAGAATGGTGAAGACTGAACGCGTCGAGCGTCGCGTGTCACGTACCATAGTCCTTTTCCTTGCGGTCTCATCCAATGAGATGCGCGGGCACAGCGAGCTTCGCGCGTGCACGATCAAGTCCAGGCATCTAGCCTATGCACCGCGACCCAATAGTTACTTGCACACATCCCATGCTTCCGTACGTCATTGAAAAAGCGAAAGGTAAAACTGGACTTTGTACCCCCGGAATATGTTGGGACCTGGCCCCAATGTGGTGTCTTGATCGGGTATCGTGTATAGCCCAGGCGAGGTCTGGAGTGGCCGTTGGGTTTCTTTTCAAGAAAAGCTTCGTTTTTCTGGGTGGGTAATGACTGGTTCCCCATCACCGCGGGGTGGAGTGTGCTCCATACAAATCATGATGACTTGCCGCTAACGCAGTGGATCGGGGGAGAATGACAGGATTCCTGCTCCCATTTCTAGGTCGTGTGCGAGGCCAGCGCAGAGCACGAATGCACACAGATACCAGTAAGTAGGGAGTGGTGACTTCATGGGACCAGGACTGAGGTGCACATAGATGTACTGTGCAAAAGGATCGATCGTGACGGTCTTTGAACGTTGCAAGTCCGACGATCAATCGATGCCAGACTCCGCAACGCTTTCTAGTCCACTGGCACTTCGTTATTCTCACATCGATTTTGTTATTCAGCCCGACAAAGGGTCCTAACTCCAGTAATGATTTACGGACAGTCTCGGGCAAGCTATCTAGGCTATCTCGTGATGCGTCCACGATTACAATGGCATAGGCCACTATTTACCAGACTACCTGCTCACTGCGATCGTCGCTCTGTGCTTAGGAGTCAGGCTCAACAAAGAATGGGTGACTTGTTAACGTTTCCATTCACCGCACAGGGTACAAAAGGTTTGAATTACAATAACCAACACAGATTCTCATCCACCACAGGGATCGACAGTCAATGTGATCGCCCCTCTGCACTCATAAACACCCTTTCCAACACCCAAGGAAAATAAAAAATAGAAAACCTCGTAGAAATGTACGTCATTTGAAAGAAGAGACACTAAAAATATGCCTTAACCAGGGGCGAGATGGTTAGGAACAGAACTTACATTGACGATTAACATAATGTTTCGACTTCCACTCAGTCGCGCTTCCAGTCAGGACCACCCGGACCACCCCATCCTGTAGTACCTTCGTGCTAAAGGAAAGCATAACCAAGTTAATGGCGGGGTAGATGGTGTAAATTAGGGGCATACGTCGGGATACGCAAGAGGTTCTGGAGTGCGCTCGTTCAGCTCACCCAGAGGAGCCTAGTAAGAACCGATCCCGGATCAGTCCAGCCAAACATAATCACAGCACTTTAAAGCACCGAAAACGAAGACGCACTGGGGAAGCAATGACCGCAGCAGCGGCAGCAAGAACTAGAAGAACGGGAGAGAATTGCATGATTGGCTTTGAGAAGTATGTGCAATGGGTATGTCGCTGGAATCCATGGCTGAGAGTGCCCCCTTTTATGCAGCCTGGATCCCAAGGCACAGTCAGGTTTTCCCCTACGGTGCTACTAGCAGTCACGCTAGTGCCTTGGAGACTGTCTGCAAACCGTTTTCAGGGACCCGGGGACCTCGGGCTCTATCTTTTGCATTTCAGATCACTGCGGCTTTTGCACTCTCCCCTCTGTCATCCAAGCCTCTAACGCGTAGTGTGCTTCATATGGTCATGCAATGACATCTGTCTTCTGACACGGCTGTCATCATCTTCAATG